CCCGCAACGACAGCACACATGATGATTACACGCTGTCTGGCCCGCCGGCCGGGAGCCATGCAGTCTGCAGCCGGGGCGTCGAGGGTGTCGTGGAGACGGCCGCCGCCCGCCGCCCGCAGCCTCTACACAGTGCCCCCGCTGGACAACCACGCCCAGCTCGAGCAGAACGGCATCCCGGGCGTGCTCTCGCCCACGGGCTTCCGCACCGCCTACACCGAGTACCAGGGCCACATCGTCGACGAGCTGAATGCATCCACCGCCGGTACGCCAGCGCCCCGCCGCGTCCAGGGCGCTGCCACAGGCTAACGTCGCTCTGCAGGTACGCCGTGGGAGAACCAGGAGGCCAAGGCCCTCGTCGTCGACTTCGCCCGCGACCCGACCAAGGCCTACGCCTTCAACATCGCCAGCATGGCCTTCAACAACCACTTCTTCTTCCGCGGCCTCAACACCAACCCCGACGTGCACGCCCAGCCGTCCAAAGACCTCCACGCCCACATCAACAAGCACTTCACCTCGCTCGACACCCTGCGCGACACCTTCCTCGCCACCGCCGAGTCCATGTTCGGCCCCGGCTTTGTCTGGCTCGTGCAGACCAACGACAACAGCCTGGGCGGCACTCTGCGCATCCTGCCCACCTACCTGGCCGGATCGCCTCTGTCGGGCGCCCACTACAGGCGCCAGTCCCACGACCTCAACACACACAACGCCGACTCGTACCAGAACATGAACAAGGTGGGCTCCTTCGGCGTGGCCGCGCAGCAGGACCAGAAGCCCAAGAAGCCGTTGGGCGGTGTCGATGTAGTGCCGCTGCTGTGCGTAAACACGTGGGAGCACGTCTGGCTGCACGACTACGGTGTCCGCGGGAAGAGGGCCTTCCTCGAGCAGTGGTGGGACAGGATTGACTGGGACTTTGTCGGCCAGAACACAACGCTGAAGAGCAAGAGCCCTCGATCTTTCATGGGCGCCTAGAAATTAGGCCTGTACACTGCATGTAGACATATATGTACAAGACATTTTGAAACTACGTCAAGGCATCTCTGCATGCATGGCGCCGGGCGTCGACTCGGGCATCTAACAACGTGCGACCTCGCCCACTCTGCCCGTGAAGAACATGTGTCTGTACTTGCTCACTGACTACCATGATTCAAACGCCCTCAGCCATCGCTGCAGCTGCATGCCATTCCGAACGCTGTCCAGGCCTTGTCTTCTCCCATTGCGGGCTATACGGGATACGGCGCGACATGTACTGGCCTGCAGCTCACCACTGCCAGTGGCCCAAACCGGCTCTGATCACCACCACGTCCTCAAATCTTCACCGGATCGTCTTCTCACACCACCAGATGCCGGCCTCTCAAGGCAGATTCAAAGTACACTTTCGCGATGCGCTTGTCCACTCTTCTCAGCCTGAGCCTCGGAAATCATCAGGTGGCCAACTCGCGCCCGTATAGCCGGCGTCATCCTGTGCCACACCGTTGGCGCGCCTCTAGTCAACTGTTGACGCGCAACACCTGAAGACGTCCGCGCATACTTCGGACTAGGCATGTGGACAGGTATACCGACAGCAAAGGCTGCCAACACGTAGTCGAGTTCCAGTTGAGGGCCAAATCCCTCGAGGCCTCCCACGCGCGGACAACCAAGGACATTTATTGGAAACACTGACGAGAGCGCACTGCCTCCGCCTTGCATGCTTACGATGCACTGATTTTCCCCCAGCCCTGCGGCAACTTCTGCACAAGTTCAACACTTCGCGTGCTCGCCTGCCTTCAGCCGTGCACCTTGGCCAATCACTAGGCCGTGATCTTCGCCGGATTTAGTCGTCGGTCAACCAGCGCCCTGCATTAATTCCTACACTATGACCTCACACGACTCTAGGGTTAGCTAGTCGGTAACACATATCGAAGGATTTCGACTCTCTTCGCTGCGGGTGCCTTTTCCCAAGACTCCGATTCTCCACACTGCTCTTTTTGTCTCTTTTTTCCAATCTGGTATTGCGTTTTCTAGCGGGAGCATGGCAGTGCTTGCGGATATATTACCGGTAGTGTCGAGGAGCTCAGCTCTCGCGCTGAAGCTATACGGCGTTGCTGTGGAGTCGCCTGAGGCCGCGAAAGACCTAGTTGCCGTCGCAAACAAAACAAATGGTTTCGCTGCAATACTCAAGCAGCTAGGGACGATCATCAAAGAAGATGATCGTTTACCGTCACCTGAGGTACGTAAGGACGCGCGAGTCGCGCTGCAATCACGGGAAAGCATGGCCTATTCCAAGATCGGAGTGTTGTACTGGCATAATCCCAAGAAGACTTTGGGAATCACTCATCTGCTCTGTCCGATCAAGGGAGTTGAAGACATTAAACAAGGAGAAGCGAATACTTATGCTTCGTTAAATGAGGTCGTGGACGCCCTCGCTGACATTCATATAGGCCATCAACACCCTGGACGATGCCATCGATCAGGCTCAGAACTTGCTTACCAGCGTCGAGATGACTACCTCGATTGAGAACAACAAGTTCCATGACCGAAGAGACAGTGTTCGCTCTACTCAACACAGCCATCCCCGTTTAGATCATTCGACCAAGGCAAGCTTAGACTATTTCACAGCTCACCTGGAAGCCCTGAGTATGACGCTCTCTGTTCTACTGCAGACGTTGTATGCAGCACAGACTATAATGTGGTCAAAGTAAGTTTTACATCCTTACACTGCACTCGGCCTCTGACCCAGTCGCATCCGCATAGCTCTATCTTCTACTTGAGGTACATCTTGGCTTGGAGTAGTATGCTGCTGACAGTCGTTCAGGTTACGTCCCACGGTATCTCCGCAACAAGCCGCTAAACTTGTTGACAACGAAAAGATTCAACTCGAGGCACTCATTGTTCAACAGCAACTATCCATCTTATCAGCTTCAAACTTCTACGAACAATCGCCACGGTCTGATGCGCGCTTATTGATGGAGGCAGACAGTTCCCAGAGCTTAGTTGTCACAGAGCATGGCGAAATCCCTAGGCCGACCAGCCTTCGATCTTATCAGGATGAGGACCTGAGAAGCCTCGACACGTCGGTATACACCGAAGCGAACGGTCTACCTGCGGTCTTCAGTATATCGGCTTCGCGCGCCGAGCACTTGCTACAACAATGGACGAGTCTGCCTCTATTTGAGCGCCGCTTACGAGACGAAGAACGTGAACTACAAAGGCAGAGACAAGAGTATCAACAAGCTACTGTAGAGTCAGATAACGAAGAAGAGCAGAGCCGCACATCAAAGCTTTCCGGTGATGGCGCTCGGCGAACACAAAGGTCGGGCAGCATACAGCCGCTGTTCACTGAGGCCAGCAGCCTGTCTAGTCCACACCCGGAGAAGCATCACGGTCCGCCTGCACCGCCAACACCGATCGCTACACCTCGTACATCACAAGTGAGCATGCCTGCTACAAATGAACAGCAAACAGCTGCTTCGCCCCGATCCAGTCTAGGTAGTCTCCCCATCGAGGCTGCCGCCGCGGTAGAAGCGAAAGAGGAAGACAGTGAAGTCGATCTAGAAATACCTTGGAAGTTGTGTGCGCGCAAATACTACTGGCGCTTTGTCGATGCCAAGCAAGTCAGCTCGAATACTGATCAAGCGTATTCACTTGCCTATTTGGAACGTAGCAGTTGGACCGAGATCATGGCTAGTTGGGTGTGCAAGGAAGCAATCCGAGAGGCAGGTTTCAGGTTTACACAATATCAAAAGGTGCGGAGGGATAGTAGGAGAACGAGAGGGGAGACATGCTTCTGCATCGAACGTCCATTGCAATTTGACCAAGTCAAACGTCTTGTTGAACGTACCGTTGACATCTACCGGAAAGCAGCACCACAGACTCCACCCCAACAACCACAAGCCAGGAGATCATCTTTCCATCGTGCCCCACCGCCACCCACTGCTCTAAAAGGAAGCGCATTCGACCGCGACAGGACACCAGTGCCGCGAAACACACATCCCCCGCTTGATCGCACGAACACGATGCACTACGCACCGCCGCCTGGGCCACCCCCACTAGACCGATCACTCTCAATGCCTGGACCGGGACTCGTCCCGCCGCCACCCCAACAAAAGACCAACACCCGCACTCCAAATCTCCAGATACCGGTACCCAGTCAATATACCCCTCAACAACCACAACGCCCTCACTCCCCACGAATCCCACAGTACCAACCTCAAGCCAACGGACACCCATCCCAGCCGATGAACGCACCACCATACTACCCACCCCCGCCAAACACCCCTTTTGCAAACGCACCCGCGCCCCCACATGCACCAATCCAAAACCAGAATTACCCTGTACAAGCCTCACCTCTCCGCCAATCCTACATGAACCCCAGTTATGCCGGCAACCGACGACATGACGACGACTTTACCACATCCGAGTCTGAGCTCGAACGCCCAAGACGGCGCAGATCCAAATCGAGGAGTAGAGCGTATGAGAAGGAGAGGGAAAGGGACAAGTATGGTAAGAAAAGTCACACAGGGAGGAAGGCCGCGGCGGGCGCGTTGCTGGGTGTTGGTGGGTTGACCGCATTGTTGGATGGGTTGAGCGGACTGTAGAATGTACGAATTGCATGATTTGATCTTGCCACCATTTTGGGGTCTTGAGCGCAAGGTACCCAACGGATTAGTTGCTTGTATAATGACTTACGAAATCATAATGACTTACGAAATCATAATGAAGAAGTATCTCGCACTTTCATACCTTCTCTACCATCTTCGACCGTGCAAATCAACATGACGAGTTCCTCAAAACAAGCATTAATCAGAGAATTAGGTTGGAAATAACAGCGATGCATTGAAACTACAAAGACGTTAACTAGGGCAAGGAAAAAAAAGACTACGTAGGGACAGAATAGGAATACGCGACACCATCCACCTCTGCCGACAACCCATTCAACACCCCATCACATCTTCCCTCTTCTCAAGCTCTTCAAGCGTAGTCTACTCTAGCAAAACCATCCTTCGCACAGAGCATACCCAGTATTATTCTGCCATTACCGCTTCACCGTTGTTACAGATGTGCTCGCTAGCCGGGTCCGGATGCGAATCATTCTCGGACTTGTCCAGGTGACTGGGTATCTCAGATTGAGTCGTTCGCGCAGGAGCCGTAAAAGCAATGTGCTGTGGAGTCGCAGGCAATGCCATCACAGCCAGATCTAAGGTGGAGTCCTCGGATGCGACGATGCGCTCCATGGCCTCGTCGCCCGTTTCTGAGTGGAAACTGTGTTCGCTGAAAGTGTCAACTGGCACATGCGGTTCGAGGCGGGTGTGTTGATCGGTGGCTCCGTCGACGTGTGGTTGTACCCCAGTGGCTCCTTCTGTATCATCTTCCTCTCCTTCAAAGCAAACCACTGTCTCGCCAGCAAGCTCAGAAACCGCCGCACATTCCCCAACTGTAGTCGTCCCATTTCCTCCCTGCCCACTAATCCCCTCTCCAACCGCCATAGGCATAATCATCACCTCCCCCAAACCCCCACTTGGTTGCCGCACAACAACACCCTCAGCACCCGCGCCGTCACCGCCCCAAAACCCCGTTGTACGCCCTTCAATCAACAACTTCGATTCCTTCTCGTTCTGGATCAGCGAGCAGCACGTGCAAAACCACGTCTTGAGTATATCGGCAACACAAGTGCCGCCGAGGTCGCCTAGTTTGCGGATCCGATAGGTTTGCCATGCGAAGGGGACGCAGACGAGGAAGCCGTGGGCGAGCGGGGTGCAGCAGAGGAACGAGTAGCCGTAGGCTATGCACTGTTACCGGTAGTGTCAGTCAGGAATCTGAGAAGGAGGTATGCGGTGGGATAGTGTGGGACGCTAATCGAAGCTGGATGGAACTTTGTCAGGGAGGGAAATGGCGTACCGGCACGTTGACAATCTCATAGCCACTCATATCGCCGTTGTAGTGAAGACGGTGCCACGTCTTTCCGCAAGTGACGCAAGGACAGAAGAACGTGACGATACCTACGCTACTTGTTAGTCCATCTTTCTTGTCATCCCCATCCTCATACCAACAAGTGTGGAAAGACTTACATAAAGGCAGCGGATTCAAGCAATCCTAGAGACTTGTGTTCCACGGCTTGGTACGACGCAAATCTGCTTCGATCTCTTCTCTCGCTAACGCAGTCCAGTCTGATATCTGGGAGCCGCACCATCGTCCCCATCGTGAGATGGTGTCACGGGTCTTTTGGAGGGACGGGTGTCCTGCGAGGCGGTCTGGCATTGTGGTATGATGGGCCGACTTCCTGAAAGCGAGTTGATCTCAGCACAGTGTTTAGGGTGAGAGAAAATGATGTATTCGATGCCGAGTATGCTGCTATGTGGGAGGGTGGGCGAAGAATAGAGTGGATGGTGTGGCGCAGATGCCCAGGTGATGTCTGGGAAGGCAAGAGGAGGAGATGTAAAAGCGACTAATGTTGACCTCAACTCGCCGGGTAAGGACGATAGAGCCAGGAATCAGGTGGAGGCGGTGGCGACTTAGAAACAGTCTCCGTCAATTAGTGAAGTCTCGATGATTCACGGTTACCATATTGGCAATGTTTGGTGGTACATGCACAGCAGTTCTAGTTAAGATGATGAAGTGATATGATGTTATGGAGACTGCAACGCCAAGTTGAGGGACGGTGAGATGCCAAGTAATTTCACATTATGATAAATGTGAAGCAACTGAGGAGAAATGTATGCAAGTATCAAATCGCATGCATTGTATAGGCCACGCATATTGGCAGCGCATACTAGTCTATGTAACTAATCATTTGCTCGAAACTATACTTTTATCAGATTCCTTCCACCCAAGTCACGGGGTCAGGTCCGCATATGCGCATGCAAACCAAAACGAGCATTTAAATCCCACCGCCGAGCTGGCCTTGGAAAGACAGCCACCATGATGGTTACCACAAAGAACCGGGGGTATCTTCCTTCGTACAAAGGTTGGGTCGTGGCTAGACCTTCATGAACGCCATCTATGCAGTAAACTTTTCCGTCGTCCAAAACAGGGTCATGCTGCTACTCTCCGCGTGTGGAGAGACCGAGAGACGCAAGGACGACGAGAAAGACGTTGTCGTCGAGGGGTATGACCGGGAAAAAAGGAACCGCTTTTGTCGTAAGATAAGGAAATGCTCAGAGAGGTCATCCGCGTGTGGAAGACTCGGAAAGCGAGAATCTATAGCTCCCCAAGCAGCATGCTTGCAGAAGAGCGAAGTCGTGAAATGTTCGTAATGCATGCCTTTGCGAGAAAGACGAGGGTCCTGCCATCTATGTTCGAGCTCGACAAGAGTGCGTCGAAGGGTATCGTATGCGAGAAGAGCTCGAAAACAGGCAGATCCGCAAAAAAACAGTCGCTGTCTATATGCTGATTGGGGTATGAGATTCCAGATTTCCGCATCGATCCGCGGTAACCGGGAAAGATTCGCAGAAAACATTCGCAAGTGAAGGAAATCGAAAGCAAGCCATCGGTAGCGGCGACACGAAGGCCCAGGGTATCGTAGAGAAGAAAATGTGTCCCGGGCTGGCTATATCGTGAAGCGGTGCGTTGCACGTTTACCACCAAGAGTTGCCGCCAGGGCCGGATGGGTTGCCGTAGCCTCCACCAAAGCCGCCGCCGCCACCACCGTAGCCGCCGGGAGCTGGAGGAGCGTAGCCACCGCCGGGAGCACCGCCGAAGCCACCTCCGTAGCCACCTTGAGGAGCACCTCCCCACTGGCCACCGCCACCGCCACCGAAACCACCACCGCCCATGCGACGAACGTCACGGGTAGCAGCGTTGCCACGGCCACGGCCGCCACCACGGCCTCCACGACCTCCACCGAAGCCGGAGCCCTCGCGAGCAATGGACTCGAGGAAGCTAGGGACCTCTTGGTTGGCCTCCTTCAACAGGTCAAGGAGATCGCGTACGACTCCGCGATTGCCGCGGTTGAAGAAAGCAGTGGCAATACCAGTGTTTCCAGCTCGTCCAGTACGACCGATTCGATGAACATAGTCGTCAATGTCGGTGGGAAGGTCATAGTTGACTACGTGAGTGACATTCGGTATATCAAGTCCTTGAAATGAGTTAGCAAGGTGTTCAAGGGTTTGCAGAATACAGGAGTTGCTCAAGGCTTGAACAACCTGGAAAACTTACCTCGGGCAGCTACAGCGGTAGCGACGAGGATGGGGCAACGTCCAGTTCGGAACATCTCCAGGGCCTTTTCACGCTCACGCTGAGTGCGGTCACCGTGAATGGAGGTGGCGGGGAAGCCCTGGTTGATGAGGAAGTCGGACAGCGAGTCGGCCATACGCTTCGTCTCGACGAAGATCAGGGTGAGACCAGCACCGTGTGTGTGGAGAATATCAAGGAGAACAGAGCGCTTGTCGCCGTCCTCGACGTACTCGATCTTCTGGGTGATGTTCTCAGAAGTGGAACCGACACGACCGACCGAAAGGAAAATGTAGTCCTTCAAGAAGTCGCGGGCGAGCATCTGGATATCGCGGGGGAAGGTGGCCGAAAACATGAGTGTCTGGCGGGCAGCGGTAGGAGGCATGTCCTCACCCTCAACGATACGGCGGATCTGAGGCTCGAAACCCATGTCCAACATGCGGTCAGCCTCGTCAAGAACGAGGTACTTGATGCTAGCGAGGGAGATACGGCCACGCTCGATCAGGTCAACGAGACGACCGGGGGTAGCAACGAGAAGATCGCATCCGCGCTCAATCTGGCGAAGCTGAGAGCCAATGTCGGCACCACCGTAGACGACGCAAGGACGGACCCAGGAGCGGTATGCGAACTTGCGGGCTTCGTCGAAGATCTGGGAGACCAACTCACGGGTAGGAGCAAGGACGAGCGAAGTGGGGTAAGCCTTGCGTTGACGTCCGTATCCACCCTGAGCCTGTGCGGGAGGAGGAGAGGGGCCATTCTGGAAGGCCTGGGCGAGAATGGGGAAGAGGAAACCACCAGTCTTTCCGGAACCAGTCTGGGCACAAGCCATGAGATCACGGCCACCCATGACGATGGGGATGGAGTACTTCTGTACAGGAGTGGGAACCTTGTATCCGGAGAGCTCGATGTTGCTCAGCAGGTGGTCATCGAGAGGCGGGTTTGTGAAACGTGTGACGGGTTCGGGGACACCCTGACCAGAGGCCTCGACGGGGATGTCATCGTACTTCTCGAAGTTGATACCGGTCTGTTGCTTGGAGGGGTCGTTGGGCATGCCGAAGAGGTCGCGCTCGAGGCGCTGGTTGGGCGGGCCGGGAACGTGCTTGCCGTCCTTCCAGGCACCGTCGCCAGATCCGCGAGCGCCTCCAGAGCCACCGCCGCCGGGCTTGCCGTAGGCGTTGGGGTCAAAGTTGCCGCGAGGGGCACCGCCCCATCCACCGCCTGGGGGACCGTCGCGACCGCGGGGAGTGAAGTTGGGTGCGTTGGCCCAGCCACCGGCACCGCCGCCGCCGTTCATCTGAGGGGGAGGACCCTGACTGTCACCAGTTAGCATACCTTCCTGTTTTGTGTCCTGGGTGTTGACTGACCCTCCGGGGCCCCACGCGCTGCCGCCGAGACCGCCGCCGTTCATCATCGGGGGCGGGCCGTCCATGGGTGCAGGGCCTCCGGGACCGCCCTGGGGACGGCCGCGAAGGTGAGGGGGGATGTAGGCAGAACGCTCGCCGTTGAAGCCGTTCTGGGGGTTGTGCTGGGAGTCGTTGATGTTGAGACGACCCATGTCGAGTTGTTCAGCCATGATGGGCGTGGTGGAATCGAGTTGGTTGAGGGTGTGTTTGGGAGTGCAATGTGCAGGGCGCAAATTACAGATGTGCTGGCTTCGGCTGGCTCGGCGGTGAGCGACAGACGAAAAGTAGCAGGTCTAAGTGACGAAACTCGTAACTCGCAGGCGGGTGCCTGAGACTCGTTCTGTCAGGAAAGAAGGGAACGCCTCTGTCCTGAAAACGAGAAGTAAAGAAGTGAAGACCAAAAGAAAGGACTTCACGGGAAAAGAGCTTGTAAGGTTGTGCAATACACACAGAGTAGTTTTGGAGGGTGGGTGGTTAGGGAAGAGGGAGACGGCCGCAGGTAAGTTAAAAAAGCGTGTCGGAGAACCCTTCCCGCACTAGTCCCCGTTGGCGCTAGCGCTCCCTCTCAGAGTTCTCAGGCTGTGGCGAGTGGGGAGCGGTGAACGTCACAGATGGAAGCTGTCGTGTGCTGCAGCAGGCTTGCTTTTCATGCGACATGCACTGTGACATGGCCGCAGTTGAATGTAGTGGCGGCCTTTCTAGGTTCTTGTGCAGGCTCCAGGCCATCCTGTGCGACTGTGCCATGGCTTTAGATAACCCAACATTGTCTTCTTTGCTTTTACCCTGGACGTGCCCTGACCGTTGCACATCGTCATCGGCGGGTAATGCAGGGACTGCAAGGACATCGTATCCCCTCTACCCTAGCTAGCGTCTTGACACATTAGAGAGCCATGTTCACCATGTATCAGATCAATGCTCTACTAAAGGAACGTTTCTGCATTTCGTCGTAATCTAGGCCATGCTCTTCTCCTTGAACCCACCCATAATGTTGCTTTGCCCTCCATTTCGCGTTTTCAAGAAGAGCACGCAAATCGCAACGACAGCCCCAATAAAGAAAAGCTTCTGACCGACCGACAAACCATCAGCAGAACCAGCAGCAGCAGCCAGGCCAGGAATTTTGCCCTTGGTGGAAGAGGCCTGGGATACCTCAGCAATGTTGACGATATCGTCGTGAGACGGAGTCGCTGTGATATCGAGTTCGTCGCCAGGAATGGCTGGTTCAGCATGGCCGTATAAATCTTGAAGAAAAAGGTACAACTATCAGCAGCTCTCCAACCTGAGGGGTCGACTCAATAGCAAAGAATGCGTACTGATGTCTAGAGTTCCGCGTGAATACCTTCCTCTGGCACCTCGAGC